TTAGAAAAGGTCGAAAGCTCTTGAGTTAAAAAAGACAAAAATAACTAAGGCGCCTTTATGAGTGAATTCCATCTTAATATCAAGAAACTGATTAGACAACTGGAAAGGATCAGTATAACAATATGTAGACACCATATGACTATATTACTCCATGAAACGTACATATATATATATATATATATATATATATATATATATATATATATATATATATATATATATGTTACAAACTGGTGATGAACACAACGTTATTCTTTTTCTCAGATCAGTAGACACATTATCGTGCCGTTTCACGGTGATAATGGACCACCGTATAAGCAAAGAAAAAGCGTTCCATTCAATTAAACCGAACTATTTCTGGCCTGGTTTGTTTGGAAAAATAGTAGAGTTTGTAATTAGATGTATGCAATGCCAAACAAAGAACTTATGTAAGCTTCAACCACGTATGCAGGAATGCGATATGCTGCCTTCCCAGTTCGCTAAAATAGCTCTAGACATTTCCAGACCTTACCCAAAGACTTATTCAGAGAATCAATATTTAGTAGCATTTATAGATAAATGTTGGCAGTAGTTGGCCCGAGGCATTTGCAGTCTCAAAAAAAAAAAGAAGACAGAAACACTAGCCTAAGTATTAATTTCAGAGAGTTACTCACAACTGGACAGAGAACGTTAAAAGCATAAAAACAATTTTAGAAGTGTTCATAATACATATCCTTCCTTGACATCTCTCTCTCTCTCTCTCTCTCTCTCTCTCTCTCTCTCTCTCTTATATATATATATATATATATATATATATATATATATATATATATATATGTTTAAGTTATGAAGAACTTGGTAATCCGTATGGGTAATCCCAAGGTGGTTGAAATCCTGAGAGCTCAATGTAAATTCAGAGCTAATATTTAAAAGAAAAAACAGACCACTTTAAGGTACCATTATAATAATTTATTTCACCAGAGTCCTTTTAAAGGACGCCGGATCATCAGATAGCACTTCCAATAATGAAATGAAACGAAAAATGAAATTAAAATTGATGGGTAGTGTAAGTTTTTGTAATTTAACAGAGAGTGTAAAAGGGATAGTTAAAGAGACATAATAGAGTATAGGGAGGGATTAATTTCATATCTCTCTCAAGTATACTTTATATTGTGGGAGGAGGAGTGACCAGACCACGACCTATTTAGACGGTTAACTTAACGGAAGTGATATATTGAAATGGGAGGGGAGAAGGGAGAATAGGAAAAAGGAAAAAGAAAGAAGAGGGAGAGGGAAATAAAGAGAAAGAGGCTGTAATTGGGTTTTAGCAATTTATGTAAAGAATAGATTTTAATGCGTGATAGAAATTTAGATGTCTAAAAAAATTTGATGTTTGCTATCAATTTAAATATTTAATTTTTTTTAAACGAATAGTTTAGTGACTTAATATAAGTTAAATACTATATTCATTAACACATTTATAGAGAACATATTAAAAAAAAATATTTTAAATTATAATAGTTTATTTACCCGACCAATCGTACTTTTTTAATATTGTAAAAATAGTTACGGTAACATCTTTATTAGTTTTACTTTTAATCTAATTTATGAATGCAATTTGTCATTATTTTTATATGGGTAATCATACTTACTTAAAGTTTAGGTTTAATTATGGAATAATATTTGAGGGTAATATTAAAGATTTTGCTTTCTTCTTATATATATCACATACATATTCATGCAAATCCCATATATACATACGTTTATTTACATGCGCAAATACACACATAGACACACATGTAGCGATATACACAGGTACCTATCCATATTCATACATAAATTACATACACATACATTTATAAATAATTACATATATTTTAATATTTGAAATTTATTTAGATTTTTGTTTAATTTCATAGTTAAAGTTTAACGTTAGGTGACTTCTGAAGTGTTTAATTATTAAAAAAAAAATTAAGTTAATATTTTACTATTAATATTGATAGTTAAAGATTAGTATATTTAAATTTAAGTTAAATTATCAATTTAAAATGAAAATACCACCAGAAGATAAATATACACTGTCATAATTCTAATTATAGAACATTAAAAGAGAAAGTTATATTAAATATTAAAAAGAGTAATTTTAAAACACATTTAAAATGGCCTTATGTCCTTCCATTTGAATACATTCTCCACACACATACATATATATATATATATATATATATATATATATATACACATACACACATATATACATATACACATACATACACATATACATACATATGCATACATATACATATATATACATATATACACATATACATACACACACACATACACCTACATACACACACAATTATATACATAAACAAGCATATAAAATAACTATACCCATAAACATCCATACATGCATATGTATTTATATTACTATGTTATACATATATTCACACATATTACAAATATTAACTCTAAAATATTTACATCTTTATACACATACATACATAGATTACATGCAATTTCATATCCAAAACAATATATATATATATACATATACATCCATACACACGCACATATACATACACATACATACATGCAAAATACATATACATATATATATACAAATAAACCTAGTCAAAAACTACGCTTGCACCTCTACATACCACATACATATATATTCATACTCATATGTATGCATATATATATACATATATACATACACATACACATATACATATATGCCTACAATTCATACAAACACATATATGCATATAAACACCCTTATCCAAAATGCCCATACATACATATATATATATATATATATATATATATATATATATATATATATATATAAATTCACATATAAATGTCCAGGTTCATCTACGTTTTAGAGTACATACGAACAAGTACAGCATCCATGTGTTCATACATTCATTTCAAAAACAAAAGTAATATTTTCCCTTTTTTATATAGTTATTTCTAAATATATTTAGTTAAACTGGGGTGGTTTTTATGTCTTCATTTAAAAAGCAACTCGTTATGTTTGTTCAGTAATATGTCCGGATCTTTATGCCTTATTATTAGGATTTTCTCTTTTATTCACATGTTACATCGGTCTCTGAAGTTTATTAGTTTTCTAGCCCTTGAGACGATTCTCAATTTTACTTGTGGGGTTAAGTTGCTTTCCAACAAATCCCAATAATATTTTGATAGTGCCGTTTGATGCTTCTTGTATTTATTTGTGAAGGATTTTAATTTCATTTTTCGTTTCATTTCATTTTTGGAAGTGCTATCTGATGATCCGGCGTCCTTTAAAGGACTCTGGTGAAATAAATTATTATAATGGTACCTTAAAGTGGTCTGTTTTTCTTTTAAATATTTATATATATATAAAGATATTTTTTGTAGGTACAAAATTTAATCACAGAAATAAAAGTGTGAAGCTTAATATTACTAGACATATTAAAATATTTTTAATATGTCTAGTAATATTAAGCTTTACACTTTTATTTCTGTGATATATATATATATATATATATATATATATATATATATATATATATATACTATTAGCATTGTTCGGAGTGTTGCCCCTATTTTTATTGCCATATTCCTCAGGGACACATGGCCCAGTGAATGAAACCGTTGCTTGGATCCAGAAATTTAACCCAAAGAATTGTGAGTCTAATACCTGGTAGTGAAAAAAAACTTGTAGAGTTGAGTTAATGGGAGATAACTGAGACATGCAGAAGAGGCATGGCACGTAGAACTAAAACAATCTACTCCGGTGGACAGAATAAAGGGTTATGTTCGAAATTCTAATCACCTGAAGTAGGCCACAGCGTACAACAGCCGAATCGTTGTGAATATTACAATAAAGATGAAGGCAACAGTCCGAACAATATATATATATATATATATATATATATATATATATAATGAAATGGACAAAGTCCGACAATTATTTTAAGAGATATCTATGTTTATACCTTCTTTTTATAGTTATAAATATTTTAGTAAATGCTCTGTTTTATATTAAACAGTATTAATAACATTTACCGGCCTGAATGTCCCAGAAATTTTCATAGAAAATATTCTTCCTCCGACAGGAATCGAACCTGTATCCTATATGGAACCGTAATTTAGCCTGATGTGCCTTAGCGGATCGAGCCACGGAGGATCGTTCGATTAGTAATGTCGATTTTACTGTTTTTAAACTTCAATCTTCCATGAATCTCTCACGTAAATTCATATCTGCTCAAAGCGTAAAAATGACGTCACACATTATGAAATGGACAAAGTCAGAGAATTATTTTAAGACATTTTATGTTTATACATTCTTTTTATAGATAGAAAAATTTAAGTAAATGCTCTGATTTATAATAAACAGTATTAATAACATTTACCGGCCTGAATTTTTATTATAAAAAAACAGAGCATTTGCTTAAATATTTGTATCTATAAAAAGAATGTATAATCATAAAAATGTCTTAAAATAATTGTTGGAATTTGTTCATTTCATAATGTGTGGCGTCATTTGTTTACATTTGGATACGCTTTGAGCAGATATGAATGAACGTGAGAGATTCATGGAAGATTGAAGTTTAAAAGCAGTAAAATTGACCTTGCTCATCGAACGATCCTTTGAATCTATAAATGTTGAATGTATAAACATAAAACAATTTAAAAATTCTTGATAGGGAATATTTAAATACTAAACACGTAAAATAACCCCAGCGTATTGATCAGTTATAACAAAATTAATACAGGAGAAAAGGAAATTGAACACAGATTAGACGGCGCCAGCTTTAGTTTCACCCACATCGCAAAATGCTGCAAAACATCAATCCTAAAAGTCATATTCATATTCATATCCCCGTCCTGGGTAAGACAATAAACTACATCTGCGTTCTTGGTAAGACGATAAACTACGTCCGCGTCCTGTGTATGACGATAAACTACATACGCGTCCTGGGTATGACGATAAACTACATCCGCGTCCTGGGTAAGACGATAAACTACATCCACGTCCAGGACAGATAGATAAACAGATAGACAGATTTGGACAAACGAGGATAGATAGATAGATAGATAGATAGATAGATAGATATGAACAAGCATGGATAGAGAGATTTAAACAAACGAGGACAGATAGAAAAATAGATATGAACAGTCATGGACAGACAGATTTGAAAAAACGAGGGCAGATGAATAAATAGATATGAACAGACATGGATAAACAGATATGAATAAACGAGGATAGATAGATAGATAGATAGATAGATAGAAATTGAACAGATTAAGATAGATAGATAGATAGATAGATAGATATGAACAGGCATGGATTGAGAGATTGAAACAATCGAGGACGGATAGAAAAATAGATATGAACAGTCAAGGACAGACAGATATGAACAAACGATGGCAGATAGATAGATAGATAGATAGATAGATAATGAATACATTGAAATAGATAGATAGATAGATAGATAATGAATACATTGAAATAGATAGATAGATAATGAACACATTGAAATAGATAGATAGATAGATAGATTTAAAAAAGTGTGAGAAAGAAAGAAAGAAAGAACATCGTGTGTTTGCTGTTGAAACGCTTTTTAAGAGTGGTGAATCTCTAATTGCAGTACAAAGAGCTTTTCGTGCTAATCTCATGTTACGTTGGAACGAGGCTCTTCCGGATAGAACATCGATACTATGGATTGTTAATTTCCGGGCCACAGGTTCAGAGCTTATAAGGAAGACACCTGGAATACCTCAAAGCGCTCGAACGTCCCTGTGATGAAAAACTTTTAGAGATCGTCTCCAACAGTGTATGGCTAATAGACGCTGCCATTTGGAGGATGTCATTTTTAAAATAAAATTAATAAAAACGAGCCTTTCTTTAAACAACAGTGAAAAATTGTTTTAATAGCCGTTTCAATGGTCTTTGTGTCAATCTGTATAATGTGGGAGTTATCTCTGCCGTAGCCTGTATTATATCCTGGGGAACATGATTTCCACGTGACTGGGATTCGTGAGGGTTAACAAACTCTTCTCTACAGCTTGCTCTTTCAGTGCTAAGTTGTAGAGTGATTTTGAGGGCATTTTTTTTTTCAGAAAAAAATGCACCTCAGCATACGAGAAATAGGGTGTATTGTGATCGCATCGAAATGGTGCCGTGTTTATCTGATACAAGGCTCAGGAAATCGATAAGGAATCTTACAAAATGTTTTTCTTTTAAGCAGTATCCTAAATAAATCGATAAAATCTATCATTAAAATGAATACCATCTATCGATAAGAAGACAGGAAGGAAGATGGTTGATAGCATTGAGAAGAAACCTAGACTTCGATGTTATCTGTAACGATCAAACCTGAAAGAGAGTTGTTGTACATGTCCCATCAGAAGTTGCCAGTATTGATAATAAATGATGATGCCTACTGTATTGGTTCACGAAAACTCGTGCTTTAAGTGCAAAAACCAGATATAGATGGCACTCTAAAACAGCACAAATTTACTCTTGTGATTACGATTAACAAAATCCTTCCTGCATTCCTCAGCTGATTGTATGCCAAATGAAAAGGAAAGGAAAAATTCTTATTTTTAAAAAGAAAACTCTTGACTTCATAAAAGAAGGTAGAAAGCGTAAACCTACGCTTTTTAATACATTAACATTCCTTACTGGAGCAGTTGACGTGAACAAAGTAAATTTATGAAGCTTAATAGGCCTTGGCTTGTCGCTCGAATTAACGGGTCACTGCCGAACAGATGAAGTTTTTGGCATCATTTAAAAGCAAGGAGACAGAAACCGTGCAATATTAACAGATCCTAAGTGAAAAATATGTAAAGGAAAAGCAGCAAAAGAGACTAACGAAAAGATGATACGAATGTTCACCTAATACAAGACCCAAGAGCCACTCAATGTAGCGTGCTACTGTGTGGTGTTGTTTAAGCGGGCAGGAAGTGAAGTTCACTGGGGTTATGCCGGAAAGATAAAAGTTGAGCCTAGACTTTAACAAGGTTAATATTGTAGTGATTGGGAAAGCATTTTGCCGGGAGTCTGTGCTGCAAATTGGCTGTTCTCGGAGAGAATCTATAAGAATGTAAGTTTCTTCTTACTATAGGGAAATGAATGGAGGGAAATGAGTCACCCATGGGCACATCGAATGAAGGGTCCCTGTTTTAAAGTTCATGACTAATGGTAAGAAGGAAAGTAGCGCGCCAGAAGACATGTAATGGAATTAGCGATAGAGCTTGCAAAGTGGAGTAATGGATAGCGGCTTGGATTGAAGAATCGGAGAGCGGAGTTCGAATTAAAGTGGAATCCATTACATTAACTTACGTGCTAATACCCTTGGGAGAGGTTTGAATCCTCTTCTTCTCCCTTCAGCTACGGGTAAATAGCAGGACAGACTGGGTTCTGTAGCCTTGGATAGCAACTGGTCTAGGAGAAGGATAATTCTGAATACAAAACATGCGGAGGGTTGTTTGGGGATCTTGTGGCACTTAGTGCACCAGGTCTCTGTAATCGGCCCTTCAAAAAGTGTGGATGGTCCTGCACGAAACCTTCACCACTATAATCAAATTTCATGTGCTGGTGTCGAGCTGTCAATTTCCTAGGAACTGAGCTACTTGATCCTCATACGTCGAATTCGATGGGAGAGTCGAGTATATATATATATATATATGTGTGTGTGTGTGTATGTGTGTGTGTATGTTTGAATATTTGACTGAATGTGAAGATCTTGCAATCTAAAAAAATATTATGGCTTTAAATAACCTGCAAAAGGTTGACAAGACGTAAAAAACAAATCACTTAAATGACAAAAGTTCGACAAGAAATGTGTACAGCGTGTTTCTCTTTAGAGAACGAGAAAAAGGTTTAAAATGTGATAAATCCACCGTATTTATGCGTAGACGGTAAATTAGAAAAAGATCACCAGATAATGGACACAAAATCATTGTGTGTGAATAGAAAGCTCTTTGCACGTGTTTACTCTTTAACAATCTAATTTAATTCACAAGATTAAATTTTATTTGCTTTTAGTTTCTTTTGTTTTTCGCTTATTTTTAATTATACCTTTTTTTTTCTTTTCGTCTTTCTTGTACGCAGAATTATTGATTTTCACATAAGTTAAACGGTCAGCTGTTTCAAGTAAAGTTTAATTGAATATACAGACCAAAGCAATGTTTTTTATTTGATACTAGCTATAAGGGCGGCAATTAAGCTACCTCCTGCTTCGGGCTCTTGATTAGGCCTTCGACTTGTTCAGGAGTTTTAGAGTCCCCAAGTATTTGCATAATCTCAGCAATGGAAGCTCTTGATTAGGCCTTCGACTTGTTCAGGAGTTTTAGAGTCCCCAAGACATTCATTTGCATAATCTCAGCAATGGAAGCTCTTGATTAGGCCTTCGACTTGTTCAGGAGTTTTAGAGTCCCCAATATTTGCATAATCTCAGCAATGGAAGCTCTTGATTAGGCCTTCGACTTGTTCAGGAGTTTTAGAGTCCCCAAGTATTTGCATAATCTCAGCAATGGAAGCTCTTGATTAGGCCTTCGACTTGTTCAGGAGTTTTAGAGTCCCCAAGTATTTGGCATAATCTCAGCAATGGAAGCTCTTGATTAGGCCTTCGACTTGTTCAGGAGTTTTAGAGTCCCCAAGTATTTGCATAATCTCAGCAATGGAAGCTCTTGATTAGGCCTTCGACTTGTTCAGGAGTTTTAGAGTCCCCAAGTATTTGCATAATCTCAGCAATGGAAGCTCTTGATTAGGCCTTCGACTTGTTCAGGAGTTTTAGAGTCCCCAAGTATTTGCATAATCTCAGCAATGGAAGCTCTTGATTAGGCCTTCGACTTGTTCAGGAGTTTTAGAGTCCCCAAGTATTTGCATAATCTCAGCAATGGAAGCTCTTGATTAGGGCCTTCGACTTGTTCAGGAGTTTTAGTCCCCAAGTATTTGCATAATCTCAGCAATGGAAGCTCTTGATTGGGCCTTCGACTTGTTCAGGAGTTTTAGAGTCCCCAAGTATTTGCATAATCTCAGCAATGGAGGCCTTCGACTTGTTCAGGAGTTTTAGAGTCCCCAAGTATTTGATTCAGGCCTTCTTTGACTTTGTTCAGGAGTTTTAGAGTCCCCAAGTATTTGCATAATCTCAGCAATGGAAGCTCTTGATTAGGCCTTCGACTTGTTCAGGAGTTTTAGAGTCCCCAAGTATTTGCATAATCTCCTGGCTGTTGTTTAATCTGGATTTTCACTTGCACAGAAACTTTCATTTCCTCGCTGCCATCTTGGATCTTCTGATTGCAATCTCGTCCTCTGTTGACGGAGATTTCGTTTTGCGAGGCATACTGCTGCAGCATGGGATAGGCAACAATAAACTACAGAAGAACTCAAAATTGGTCATTGCATTTAAGTATTCCATTGATATTTAACTTTAACTTTTAAAAAGTTCAACGATACTTCTTCTGCCGCCATTTAATTTAAAGACAATTTGTAAGTCCGTATTTTCGGTACAAATAATTATTCTTATTTCATGGGTGAGAATCTCCCTGGATTTCGAATTAATTTGAATTATTCGCAAATTTATTTCAAAGTTATAAAACTTGTTATCATACAAGAAAATTCGTCACAAAAAGTCACGTAAAAAAATCGCCGAAAACAATCGCAGAAATGAAAACTTAGAAATTGAATATTTAAGGATGGCAGGTTCGGATTCGGATTGAAATGTTTTTAATTTGCTCACGGAGTCAGCTTGATTCCAAACTGGTATGAGAAATAAAACTGGGAGAGTCTGACACAATGACACACTGACATTCGCATTTATTTATAGAGATACAAGGCGCTGATTTGTGTGAATTTGTTCTTTTTTCTATTTTATATTATTTATTTTCTGTTTTTGGGCAATTCATAGAATGTCGTAAGTCATTTGATGGAATGAGAAATCGGAACCATATTCTGGTATTTAATTTCTCACTCTTTTTTAAGTGCTTTTGTGATACCCAGAATCGGTAAAGTGGAAAAATGAATTTTACGAAATACTAAACAGTAATACGATGATTTTTAACGCGTCAACATCACCATATTTTGTTTTAAATATCACTGTAATAAACTGATTCTTCTAATTCTTCTTCTTCTTCTTCTTCTTCTACTTCTTCTTTTTCTTCTTCGTCTTCTTTTTCATTTATTCTTCTCCTCCTTTTCCTCCTTCTTAATTTTCTTCTTCTTCTTCTTCTTCTTCTTCTTGTCCTCCTCCTTCTTCTTCTTCTTCTTCTTCTTCTTGTCCTCCTCCTTCTTCTTCTTCTTCTTCTTCTTCTTCTCATCCACGCATCCTTCTTCTTCTCTTCCTCCTCTTCTTCCTCCTTTTTTCTTTTTCTTCTTCACTTCCATTTTCCTCTTATTCTTCTCCTCTTCCTTTTTTTCTTCACTGCCTCGTCCTTCTCTTCCTCCCTCTTCTACTACTTTTTTCTCGACCTCTTTCTTCTTCCTTTTCTTCTTCCTCTTTTCCTCCTCCTCCTCCTCTTGCTTTTCTTCTTTTTCTTTGTATTCTACTCATCCTCCTACTTCTCCTCTTACTTTTCTTATTCTCTTTCCCCTCTTCCTTAT